TGTGTGTGTGTGTGTGCTGGAGAGGATGAAGTGAGCAAAATTTCAAGAAAGCAAAGAGCATAACCGAAAGAGATAAACATATGATAGAGTGATGACCCAGTTTTCTGCTCCCCCTCCTCCCACTCCCCTGCCCCATCTGCCACCGTTGTTTTAATCCACTGGTTACTACAGTTGTACACACACGCCAATATTTCTGTAGCGCTCACCCCCTGCCGGTAAAAACGTGCGTATCGTCTTCAAAAGTCAAGCCGAACTGATCATCTCTGTGTGATATTCAGATGAAGGATGTGAATACAGGACAGAGAGATCAGGCTGTCCACTCCTCCGTTAGCTTCAACATATCCTCTCACATACAGACACACAACAGTCATCTGCACCACATATGCCCCCCTGCCCAATAGCTGGCACTTGTACCGCTTCTATCTGCTGCCCTCCGGTGGCTGTAGAAGTCACAAGACACAAAAACTACCAAACATCCTGTGAGTAAGATCCAGTTTTACAGGTCATAAAGCACAACACTTAAATCTACATTTCTCCTAGTTTTACACACTTGTTTTTTTTCCCCGTCTGCTCAGGAGAACACAACCAGCTCCTGTTTCTACCCGTCATCATAAGTTACTTACCAGTCTTTTCTGGCTCCTCTGGGGCGGTGCCTGCAATGCCGCTGCTCTCCAGGCCGAAGGCGGGGTCCACCTTTCCTGTGCTCCTGGCCGCCTCCTGCACCTTCTTTACATGAGCCTCCACCAACTCAGCCGGCACCTCCTCTCGCACACGGGAGAACTCCTCTGCAGACCGAGAGAGGAAATGTATTAATTTACAATTCAAATCTGACACGACACTTGAAATAAATTCATAAAGAGACAAACCGGACAATACTAATGTGTGCGTGACTGAAATATGTAATCTTACTTTTGTACAGCCTCTTTTTAACATTGTATTTAGAAATTTACAGTTATTTATTAATTTATTATTTATTACAATTCCTCATTCCGTTTTATTGACAGAACTCAGATTTCAAAGAAATGATCTTCCTTCATTCAGATCTCACCTAGTGCTGCTCTGGCAGCAGCAGACGCCACCCTGGGGTCAACCACAGAAGCCAGGAAGGCGACTGTGCTCATGACAGGGTTTCCAGACTGGCTGAAGGGTATGGGCTGGTAGGCAAGAGGGCCCAGGGAGGCCTCAGTGCTCTCCAGGTATGGATCCTCAATGGGGAGCCGCAGGAAGTGCAGGATACACTCGTCCTGGGTGCGTGAACCGACGTGCTCAGACACTTTGTTCCAGTCGTCTTTGAACATTTCCAGAGCCTGGAAGAGGTGAGGGGAGTGAAAATACGAATCTTAGTCGTAATATATTGTGTGCAATCTTCATAGAGGTATGTAGGTTCGTTAAAGCAACAGTATAAAGGAGTGGGAGGAAAGAAGTAGAGATTAATGGGTCATAAAGCAGAAAAGGATGAGCTGAAGGGAGAGTGTAGGAGGGTTGTGTACAGTGAAAATGAGGGTAATTCAAAAAAGGAAGGACAGAAAAGAAAAAGTTGAGTTTCT